TCTGCAACAAGCATTCCGCTTTCGGCTGGGGACACTGCCACGTGGCGTGCATGCTTTGCAAGCTGCGCACAGGCATAGAAGTGCGCGGCCACTTCCTTGGCCTTAGAAAGTTCTTTCCCATTGTCATGCAACGCAGGCATTGAGTGCAGAGCAAGCTGTGTGGCCTCCGGAACACCCAAATCGGAAGCCGCCTGTCTAGGAAGCACAACGGATATATATCCGCCGACAACAGACAGCGTGTTGGACATAAGAAATGCTCCTTACCTCTTTACCTGTTACCCCTCCCCTTACCCCTCCCCGGTGATTCGAAGACGCTTCACTAAATCTGTTCATTGCGCGGGCTTGCGCAACTCAGTTTGTCAAAAACATTGGGGTGTTCGATTCCCCCCGGGTCCGCTTTCGCATCCTTAGCAGCTCCAGCGGCACATCGCCAGCATCACCATGCTGGTGAAGGAACATCTGGAAATGAAGGGGGGAAAGGGGGGAGAGGATCTCAACAGGGAAAGGGAGAAGATCTGGGGAAAAAGGCCAACAGGGAAAGGGGGGGAAAGGCCAACAAGGACAGGGGGGGAAAGATCTTAGGAAGGAAAAGGGAGAAGCTCTCGCGGGGGGAAAGGCCTTAGGGGGGAAAGGGTGGGAAGGATCTCAACAGGGAAAGGGTGGAAAAATCTTAGGAAGGAAAAGAGAAAAGATCTGGGGGAAGGGGGGAAAGGATCTCAACAGGGAAAGGGGGCAAAGGATTTTCGGGAGGAATAGGGAGAAGATATCAGCGCGGGTAAGGCCTTCCAGTTTTGCAAAAACATTGGGGTGTTCGATTCCTGCCGGGTCCGCTTTCGCACCCTTGGCAGCCCCAGCGGCACATCGCCAGCAATACTTGCGTCATCCGCATTATGTGCAAACCTTGCGGCAAATGATGCAAGTAATGCTGGTGATGTTGCCCATGCTGGGGAAATGTGGGGATATGACGGGAAAAGCAGGGAAAGGACAAGAAGTCAAAAATTTCCGAAGGGAAGTGAAGGAAAGCGAAGGGCAGTGAAGAGAAGTCAGTAAGAGAACTCAGTCCGTGAACTTTCCATGCTATTTCTGTGAATTGTCCATGAACTGTCCACGAGAATGTTCCATGACCTGTCCATGAGAATTCCCGAAACGAAGTAAAGGAAAGTGAAGGGAAATGCAGGAAACTCAGATGGACTGGCTAAACATGCCTGAAAGGAGATGTGCTAAGCTCTTTCTCCATGCATTTTCCATGAAACCGTGACCTTTCAGAAACTTTCCGTGAACTTCCCATGATATTTCCGTGAATTTTCCACGAGCCATCCATGAGAATTCCCGAAAGGACGTACAGGAAAGTGCAGGCAAATGATGGGAACTCAGATGGACCGGCTGGACATAACTGAAAGGAGATGCGGGGAAAGAAGCTTCAGGGCTAAGACTCGGAAACTCTGAGTCGCATAGCTTGCAGTCTGAAACTCTTGCTGCCTTTCCCTTTAGGATCTCTTCCCCCCTTTCCCCCTCAGATTTTTCCCCCCTTTCCGCACATTTTTGCCGTGACTTTCATGCATGAACTTGCCATCAAGTTTGTGTGAACTTTTCAGGAGCTTCAGAAATTCTGCATGACATTTCCATGACATATCCATGCTTCCAGGCAACTTCCCAGGAACTTCCCAGGAACTTCGCATGCAGGAAGCATGGCACTCCACCTGCCGACCCTGCGAAAAAGCATGCAATGCGACCTTGAGACTTCAAAAGCGGGGGGTGCTTTGGGAAAGCAACCAACACGCCGTGATTCGAAAACGCTTCTCAAAATCTTTTTCATTTTGCGCGACATACTTGCATCATCCGCATTATGTGCAAACCTTGCTGCAAATGATGCAAGTAATGCTGGTGATGTTGCCCATGCTTGGGAAATGTGGGGATATGACGGGAAAAGCAGGGAAAGGACAAGAAGTCAAAAATTCCCGAAGGGAAGTGAAGGAAAGCGAAGGGCAGTGAAGAGAACTCAGTCCGTGAACTTTCCATGCTATTTCCGTGAAGAGACTGTTCCAAGAGAACTCAGTCCGAACTTTCCATGCTATTTCTGTGAATTTTCCATGACCTGTCCATGAGAATTCCCGAAACGAAGTAAAGGAAAGTGAAAGGAAATGCAGGGAACTCAGATGGACTGGCTGGACATGCCTGAAAGGAGATGCCCTAAGCTCTTTCTCCATGCATTTTCCATGAAACCGTGACCTTTCAGAAACTTTCCGTGAACATGTGTGTGTGTGTGTGCGTGTGCGTGTGCGTGCGTGTGTGGGTGCGTGGGTGCGTGGGCGCGTGGGTGCGTGGGTGCGTGGGTGCGTGGGTGCGTGGGTGCGTGGGTGCGTGGGTGCATGGGTGCCTGGGTGCGCGTGCGTGCGTGGGTGCGTGCGTGCGTGCGGGCGGGCGTGCGTGCGTGGGTGCGTCGGGTGCGTCGGGTGCGTGGGTGCGTGGGTGCGTGAGTGCGTGGGTGCAGGGGTGCGTGGGTGCGTGGGTGCTTGGGTGCGTGGGTGCGTGGGTGCGTGGGTGCGTGGGTGCGTGCGTGCGTGCGTGCGTGCGTGCGTGCGCTTGTGTTTGTTTGCTTGTTTGTTTGTGTGTGTGTGTGTGTTCGTTTGTTTGTTTGATTGTTTGATTTATTGTTTTTGCTTGCTTGCTTGCTTGCTTGCTTGCTTGCTTGCTTGCTCTTTGTGTGTTGTGTGTTGTGTGTGTTGTGTGTTGTGTGTTGTGTGTGTGTGTGTGTGGTGTGTGTGTGTGCTGTGTGCGGTGTGTGTGTGTGTGTGGTGTGTGTGTGTGGTGTATGTGGTGTGCGTGTGTGTGCTGTGTGTGGTGTGTGTGGTGTGTGGTGTGTGTGGTGTGTGTGTGTGTTGTGTGTTGTGTGTGTGTGTTGTGTGTGTGTGTGTGTTGCGTGTTGTGTGTGTGTGTTGTGTGTGTGTGTTGTGTGTGTGTGTGTGTTGTGTGTGTGTGTTGTGTGTGTGTTGTGTGTGTTGTGTGGGTGAGTGTTTTGTGTGTGTGTGTTGTGTGCGTGTGTTGTGTCTGTGTGTGTGTGTGGTGTGTGTTGTGTGTGTGTGTTGTGTGTGTTGTGTGTGTTGTGTGTGTTGTGTGTGTTGTGTGTGTTGTGTGTGTGTGTTGTGTGTGTTGTGTGTGTTGTGTGTTTGTGTGTTTGTCTATCTTTGTTTGTGTTTGTGTGTTTGTGAGTTTGTGTGTTTGTGTGCTTGTGTTTGTGTGTGTGTGTGTGTGTTTGTCTATTTGTGTTTGTGTTTGTGTGTTTGTGAGTTTGTGTGTTTGTGTGTGTGTGTTTGTCTATTTGTGTTTGTGTTTTTGTGTGTTTGTGTGTTTGTGTGTTTGTGTGTTTGTGTGTTTGTGTGTTTGTGTGTTTGTGTGTTTGTGTGTTTGTGTGTTTGTGTGTTTGTGTTCTTTTTTGCTTGTGTGTTTGTGTTTGTGTGTTTGGTTGGTTTGTTGTTTGTTTGGTTGGCTGGCTGGTTATTTGTTTGGCTGGTTGGTTGGTTGGTTGTCTGCCCGCCCGCCTGACTGAAGAGTGCAAAAAGGTGTCCCTTTGGTTTGACTTTCAACAACCTGCTGTGTGTGTGTGTGTGTTCATGCCTTGGCAAGAGAGTAGAAGACGCGAAGCAAGTCTGACCTGCAGGCTCCGAAGCACTGCACGCTGGCGATCAGAAAGGACATCCTGGGTGCAATAATGATGTGAAAGGATGGCAAAGGCTGCTCTGATGTTGCAAAGGCATCGGGCCGCTTCGTGCCGATGGGGCAAGATATTCCTCGGTGCCGATGAACAAACACCATCAGCCACTCGCTCTCCGTCTTGAAACTTTTGAAATACAACTAAGTCTTCTGCCTAGTTCTGACCTTACGGAAAGGATCTCAAGAGTCCCAAAGTGAGATCCACAAAGTGAGACCGCCGCAGGCTTTGGACTCCTTGCAAGTCCTTTCCGCCACTCCTCCAACGCTTGTTTCTTGTAGCTCAAACCATCCAGCTACATCGCAAGCTCCTGTGGGGCGGCACCGGACTTCAAAGTGAAAAGGCGAACCGCTGGAAGGACCTTGGTGTAAATTTAGTGTAAATGCATCCAAGCATTCTACTCGCACAAGGCAGCAGAGCCTGCCTCGTGATGGCTCACTAGCGCCTGGACAGCTCAACAATGTCAATTGTCAAACCCACAAAGCAACGAGGGAATGTGCATGAGAAGGTGGCGGTTCCATTCAATCTATCCAGACGTCCTGTGTCCACAGCGTCCACAGCGTCCACAGCGTCCACAGCGTCCACAGCGTCCACAGCGTCCACAGCCCGTGATGACAAGCTTGGGCCCAGGCGCAGTGATGCAAAGCTGATCTCAGCGTAGCCTGATTCTCAAGTCGGCTTGGACACATCTTATGAAGTGCCAATGTGCCACCTGCACTGCTGCTGTACGATTTTCTGGATCCTCGATAAATCGAAGAAGCACCGCCTCATGAACAATAAGACGCTCAGCAGGAAGTGATTCAAGTGCCGCCCTCCCAGCACTATGGACTGCACGGCTACAGCCTTCAACTTAACGGCCAAGGCCTATAGGTCCAATGCACGCAAGTCTTGCAAGTGAAGCTCGACACCAGGCCTCGAGTCCAAGCGCCCACTCTGCCAAAGCTCCTTTCTCAGGGCGGTTCCACACCTTTGCAAAACCACTCTGAGACTTGAAACTTGCTTCAAGCAACGGTCTGCGCCTCTGCTGATAAAAATACCTCTGGGTGGGAAGCCCATGCCTGGCTGACTGGCTCATCTCACTAATCTTAGCTGCATGGGTCTGCCCAGACTGCTTATTACCACACCGAGACACATGGGACCGCGGATCCTTCCTTCTGCATGGCCTTCGCATCAGTGGCCCAAGGACACCACGCATGTTATTGTTTCTGGGCAAGGCCTGCGCAAATCATCCATCACCTCTGGTGTACACCTCATCTACATCTGGAAGTTGTCCCTAAACAGCATGATGATCCACGTTTCGACATCCATCTGCAAGTCCATGTTGTGAACTACGTTGTATGATGCGCCGTCCTACTGACTTTATGTCTGCTTGGCAAGACGCTTACTGTGCGCTAGCTGCTTGATATCACATGTGGCTGTAGAACTATTCGAGTGACATAGCTCAGCATGTCATGTGCCGCTGCGCATGTCTGGCCTGGGCAAAGAGACGACCATTTTGCTAATAGCCTCGATAGCCTTTGCCACCTGAGCCCTTCCAGGGTTGGCGGTGGTGCGAATTATGCTCCGTGTACGGCCGCTGGGCATCATCGGCAGGCTCTGTTCCCGCTGGCCAAACATTGTCTACAGGAACATCCACCGGGTATTCGCCGTATTTCGTATCCGACAAGTAGACCAAGATGCCACGACTGCGGCGAATGATATGTGGGTCTGCCACAGTCCCAAATAGCTTCGGACGCTCTCTGCCAAGAATAACCACTTCTTCTCCTTCAATGAAGTATTTGTCAGGAAGCGCACTCCGTTCATGAGACAAATAAAGCCGCCTGCTTGGCCCATCTCCATATGACACATGAGGCACTCCCAATTCATCTGCCAGCAAATGCACAAGTTTCCGTCTATAAGATGGTGTCTTTGATGGCAACTTCCACACCTTGGTTTCGGCATTGAACTCACCGCCGCAAAGCTGCGGAGGTTTAAAATTGTCTTTGTCATTCTGCAGTTGGAGCATGCTTGCTTGCATCTCTGAGAGGTACTTTTGATCCTGATCGTTCTGTTCAGTCAAAGCTTTAGGGACCTTCTGTCCACAGTGCTCCAGTAGGGCAATTAGCTCACCTGCTATCCAAAACCGGCCTTCTGGCAAAAAGGCATACACGCGGCCGCCCTTTTGGCCTGGCCTTGCCGTGCGTCCAATACAATTCGCGTAATCTCCAATGCTTGACGGGAAGTCAAAAAGCACAATGGCCAGTGACAGTGTGACAGTTGTGTCTTGAAAGTCCAACCCGCGGCCTGCCAATTGGAACGTAGACACCAACATTCTGATCCGACCCTGTATGAAGCTCCTATATTTGGATGGCTCGTTGGGCTCATGGTGGTCCAGCACGGCCACTGAGTCACCAACCACTCTTTTCACCTTGGGGTGTTTCGCAATCTCGCTTGCCACACGTGGGTTTGAACAGAAGACTAATAAAGACTCCTCTGCCTGCAGATCTTGCTCAATCCAACGCAGCAGCTCTGCCAGCTTGTTCTCGTAGCCACCATCAAAGGAGTCGGGGAAAAGCTTCACTTCCTGAGGAATGCTAGGAACTGCGGGATTGACTCTGATCCTCACCAACTCTTCGCCACATAGATCAGAAGCTGCGCGCTCTGCATCGTGTGGCCATGTAGCGCTAAAGAGCAAAAGCTGCCTGTCAGGCCGAATCCATTTCAGCAACTCCTTGATTTGGATGAGCCAAGTGCCAGGTGAAAGCAAGTGGTCAGCCTCATCTAAGACTACGTAGCTGATCCGCTTGGCGCTTATCCAGCGTTTCATGCTGATCAGTTCGAAGAGCCGCCCCGGTGTTGCTACAAGAACTTCTGGCCAGCAGCCAAAATCCGGCTCCCTCTCTGCAGGTGTCTGCATCTCTGCAGCAATACCTCCAAAAACCACACCGGCACGCAGGCGGTCCTCTCCGCGAGTACGACTGCAGAATTGCTGAGCCACTGAATGTGTTTGCATTGCGAGTTCACGTGTCGGCTCAAGAATGAGAGCGATGGGACCCTCTCCTGCCAAGAGCGGAGGCTGTGCCATGATGTGAACCAGCGCAGGCAAGAGGAACGCCAATGTTTTGCCACTGCCAGTCGGGGCAATTGCAATCAAATCAGCACCCGACAAGGCACACGGCCACGCTTGTGCCTGAACAGCAAAAGGTAAGGCCCCTGCGGCCTCAGTGCTGAAAAGCTCCATGGCAACTTCCTCCACGAAATCTGGGAATGAGGTTTCCTGAAAAGTCTGGAAGGGCTTTGGTGCAGGACGGCCTCTGACCGTCTGAACAATGATGCCATGAGCCCTTCTGTACTCATCTGCCTCTTGAGCGGATCGCTTTCCGATCACAGGGTGCGCCGCCTCCAGGTTGCCCCAGCAGAATTGCTCGCACTGCAACGATGGATCCGGGTGCTTCAAATAAAAGTCCTTGTGCAGCTCTGGTAGTGGCTGCTTCAGCCAATCTCCATCTTCAGCCCGTGGATGGACTCTTCGCCGCTGAGCGGCGTTTCTGGTGTTCGCCTGGAGTGTCTCTCTAGCTGGGCAAGCACCAACTAAGTATTTAGGCAGCTACGCATGATTTCCACAAAGGCAGTCCATGTGAACAAAAAGCATGTATGAATCTGTATGAATGTATCTCTACCAAAGAGGTACGGATAGGTACGGGAATCCATAGACTGAAACTCTTTGGTCGGTACCGGTGCGGTGCCCCTCAGCTTTCAAATGCGAGCCTTTCAAACAAATGCAAACGATCCAAGCGACGTAGAAGTTCACTCAGTTGCCATCAACAATTGCCCTTGCGCAAGGTTCGAAGCAGGATTCTCTGAAAAGATTACGCCAGCAAACACCCCAAATAGCATGGAAGATTACCAGCACCCTGACCAGCACCCTGACCAGCACCCTGACCAGCACCCTGACCAGCACCCTGACCAGCACCCTGTAACTCTTGGGTACACCAAACAGCACCTTGAGTCCTTGACTAACACCAGAAAAGGCACCCAAAACCAGCGCCCTTCCTGCATCGCCAAACAAGCACCGCCAGCAACCGCACCTTGAGCACAACAAACAGCACCCTGACCAGCAGCACCCTGACCAGCAGCACCCTGACCAGCAGCACCCTGACCAGCAGCACCCTGACCAGCAGCACCCTGACCAGCAGCACCTTGACCAGCACCGACAGCAGCATCCAGGCTGCGTCGCAAGACAAGCACCGCCAGTAACCACCGCAGCACCTACAAACAGCACCCAAAGCAACATGATTTGTTACGGCAAGATCGGCCTTTGCAAATTGCCACGCCCAACTCTGGCCATCTTTTGGCGCCGCTTCCAAAACTGCCCATGGTGCGAGACATGGTGCTGACGTTGGCTTCTCTTTGCGTCAAATCAGCCAGCCCTCTTTAGAAGTAAGAACAACTCATAGTTCCGCTATCTGGGGAAAAAGACTGTTGGTCAATGTCCAAAAGGGCTCCCTTGTGAACCTTGCGCTTCCAACTCCCAGGATTGAAACATTTACATGCTGCAACGCGAACTGAAGTCGCTTTCTTTGGCGCCATCCATCACCGAAGGACTCCCATGCCAGGCATACGCACTGTATCTAATGCGGCATAGGGTTGTAGAATGCAGGTTGCCTCATGTGCGCACCATTCGTTGACCTATTCAGAGCTGTCCCGATTCGCACTCTAAAAAGAATAGACCCAGGTGGTTCAACAGCAACCACCAGCAACTCTTGGGCAACCTAGCCCGCAGCGGCTCCGAACCGCTGTGACCTCTCGGAACCTCGGAACCGAACCGCACAAGAAACCTAACCTCCGGAATCTCACCTCAAAGCGGATAGCTTACCTGCTCCAGGTGGCTGACCAACACATCCAGGCATTAACACCAAATGCCAGGGCCAGGATCTAGAACAAACCTGGAATTTGCAGTTTCTCGAAATCTTGACTCCCTGGATCACAGGTCTACTTCCGGGATCACAAATATGTTTCCGGGATTTGATTTGAGAAAGCATGCGTCCACGTGTGGAGATATGGCTTGGAGATACATAGATTCATTGAATTGACACCAAAGTCAAATTGTGTACCTGTGATTATTTTTCAGAAGCCCTGAACATCCTCCATGTCAGAAGGATCGCAGCCATCAGCAGCCATTGGACAGGGCTACAAAGCTCTAGAGGCGTGATCTGGGTTGGTATCCTCGTGTTCAGCTGATCTTTCTTGTTGAGGTATGGTTGAGGTAGAATATGGACTTGCTTTGACGAACACCTGCAAGACCCACTGATGCTGAGCAGCTTGCCAGGATCATGCCGCTTGCATGAGACTAGGTGAGCTCTCGGGTTGGCCGTGTCCCAAGCACACGTTTCCCTCAAGGGCGATTCAAATCGTTGACTAATCGGCGGCACTTCTCCACACTTCTCCACTTGAACCGCCGCTCTGGCGGGCCACGTGCGAAGTGAAGTCACGGCAGGCTGCCAAGTCTTCAACCGAGGACGTATGTTCCAAAACATGTTAAGCCTTCTATGCCAGCTCTGCCGCATCCAATTAAACGCTCGCGCAAGCAGGTGAAACGGAAAGTGATGCACATGGGCTGCTAGAAGTGACCCCATTCATTGGTCCCCTCAATTCGATGTCCTGCGACTTTGTTGAAAATCTCAGCCATTTCAGCTAAGTCTTTGCACTCTCAGCACACTGCCTTCAGCACCTGGATGGCCAGAAACTCCCAAAGCAATGCTAGCCGCAGACCCCAGCTGGATCCGCGCTATCAGGAGACAAAAAGGCTCACGTACTATTTGCCCTTTCAAGCCTCGCTTGAAATGCCTGCCTCGTCGACAGCCTTGCGTCTCAAATCTGATACATCATCTGGGCCTCAAGTTTGGACAAGTTTGACACATGAATTCTCAGGTGCTGCCAAGGCTCTCATCAGGTGCCAGTCGGCCGCTGCCTGGACTGTGCCAGGGCCTTTGGTCTTTGAAGAAAAACAGCCTTTAACGCCATTGCCGCATCGCCGGATTGCAGTCTTCGCGCAGCAGCCGACCGTGGGCCTGAGAAGGTGTCAAGAAAAGCTAGCTCGACCCATGGAATCCAAACTCAGAGCCAGACCATGCTGCTGCAGCACAGCGTGGCATGTGGCAGCATCTCCTGAAAGTGCTGTCCGATGTCATTTCCAGATCTCATTCCCTCGCTTGCTTCTGCCCCTCACCAAGTCTGCCTTTTGGGAATCTTCAGCCATCAGGCAGCCAGTCAGCCAGTCAGCCAGTCAGCAAGTCAGCAAGCCAGCAAGCCAGCAAGCCAGCAAGTCAGCAAGAGTAAGTCAGCAAGTCAACAAGTGCCTGCCACTGCTGCTTGTACCAGGGCCTGTCAAGCAAAGGAGAAACCAGCCCCCCCCAGACCCTGCAAAAGGCAAACAGGAGAGGACCAAGTCATGCGCCAGAGAACAATGCCGCCAATAAAAAGCATATGTAGACAAAGCGGGGCAACCTTCGTACTAAATACATAGCTGGCCTCGCGGATGACGCCAAGTGCAAAAGCTCGTCTGGCCTTGGTGCTTGACAGTCCCTTGCAATCCAATGATAGTGCCCCAAGGCCAATGCAAAGGATTCGGCTGCCAAGGGTCGCAACAGCTGCTGCAATGGGCCTCATGCCATGCAAACAAAAATTGGCTTTCTCTTGTTGGGCTCTTTGAAGCAGCTTGCATATGATCTATCAGACAGGCCATCTAACTGGCCTACGCTTCCGTGGTGCACTGCTCTGTACACGCAACCTGTGCCAAATGTTCACGTCTCAACAAGAGCCAGCCAGATTTGTCTGTCATCGAGAGTAGCTAAGGGAAAACACAATTACATGAGTCAAACGAATAGCATGCGGTTGGCACAAAAAAAGATATATATATATATATGTCATTCCCAACAGTACTGGAACACCTTTGTGCCAGAAGGCTTATTAGGTGCATCCCAGGGAGTAAAACTGCGTGACATCAAGTCTATGAAATGACTTGGTCAATAGCTGAATTACAGCCGTGAGATCATGTACTTGTCTTACTGATGGAAATCACCGTAGAAGAAGACTGATGTGTCCCTAAACGATGGTGGGGGGGAGGAATTGCCTGTGCACTGCAAACGATAAGGCGGCCCTCTTTGCCGATGCCCTCTTCGTCAGGCAGCTATCTGTACAGCTGTACAAGTGTATCAGCGCCTGTGGGAGGAGAGACGAAACGCCTCAAAAGCACTGGCCTCAAAATCTCCGCTGCAACGTATCCTCACTTCGCCTTCGGCAACTGGACACCCAAGGCTTTGCTGAGTTTCACAACCACAGCCCCGTTAGGCACGGCACGGCCAGACTCATAGTCGTTCACCACTGAAGGTTTCTCGCTCACTGCCGCTGCAAGCTGTGACTGAGTCCACTTCTTCGCACAGCGAGCCTGCTGAAGTGCCACTTTGAAGTCATGTGAGACCGTCTGGTGGCGAAAAATCTCTGCATGCTCGTCCAGCTTGGCTGCATTCGGAACGACACGAGAGCGGTTGCTGCTTGCACTGAACTTCCTCGAGGTCTCCACATTCTCGCCTTGACGGCGGGCTTGGTTCACAGCTGCAGCACCTTTTGCGGCCTGTCCATGTGGTGCTGCCTTAAGCCACCGCACGGGCTCCCATTGCTGCTCCAACACCAAAGCTGGACCACTCGGCATCGCTTGAAGGATCTGCCAGCGGTCGGAATGCTTGAATTTGCTGTCGCTGCTGCAGCACATTCACGATATTCTGAGCTACACCATGCTTGCAAGTACGATTGCAACCACTAACTTGAAAACTGCCAAGACTGTGCATATCTGCCTATCCTACTGAAGCACATTTCACCTCAAGGAAGATAACATGTCTAACAAAAAGGAGGCGTTTAGACTGCCTTACGACCCAATCGTAGCAAAACAAGGGACCACGGTTGCTTTGCAGCGCTTTGTGTTGTCTAATCTACGCTTGCAAACCCACAAATCATGCCTTTTCAGAGTTTCAGCACAAGTGCAGTATGCCAAGCACACTTTGGCAGCTCCAGCTCAGAAGGCACGACTATTAAGTGAACGTGGGAATCGCAACTTACGGACTCATTTTGGACTCGTTCTGGGCTCATTTGGTTTGTTGCTTTCTGCACTCCAAAGCCAGCTGCTCGCACAACAAGCCTCTGCATCATCAGAGCGATCTCGTGTCATCTAGTTTTGCGTGGTGTTCTACAACACTATCTGGCTCTGGTCTTGTTTACTTGGGCGGAAGAATCATTTTTCACGGCGAAGGGTATTCGGAGCAAATATAAATATCTATTCAAATGAAAGATAATTGCTCGGTTACACCATGTACTTGTCTTACTGATGGAAATCACCGTAGAAGAAGACTGATGTGTCCCTAAACGATGGTGGGGGGGAGGAATTGCCTGTGCACTGCAAACGATAAGGCGGCCCTCTTTGCCGATGCCCTCTTCGTCAGGCAGCTATCTGTACAGCTGTACAAGTGTATCAGCGCCTGTGGGAGGAGAGACGAAACGCCTCAAAAGCACTGGCCTCAAAATCTCCGCTGCAACGTATCCTCACTTCGCCTTCGGCAACTGGACACCCAAGGCTTTGCTGAGTTTCACAACCACAGCCCCGTTAGGCACGGCACGGCCAGACTCATAGTCGTTCACCACTGAAGGTTTCTCGCTCACTGCCGCTGCAAGCTGTGACTGAGTCCACTTCTTCGCACAGCGAGCCTGCTGAAGTGCCACTTTGAAGTCATGTGAGACCGTCTGGTGGCGAAAAATCTCTGCATGCTCGTCCAGCTTGGCTGCATTCGGAACGACACGAGAGCGGTTGCTGCTTGCACTGAACTTCCTCGAGGTCTCCACATTCTCGCCTTGACGGCGGGCTTGGTTCACAGCTGCAGCACCTTTTGCGGCCTGTCCATGTGGTGCTGCCTTAAGCCACCGCACGGGCTCCCATTGCTGCTCCAACACCAAAGCTGGACCACTCGGCATCGCTTGAAGGATCTGCCAGCGGTCGGAATGCTTGAATTTGCTGTCGCTGCTGCAGCACATTCACGATATTCTGAGCTACACCATGCTTGCAAGTACGATTGCAACCACTAACTTGAAAACTGCCAAGACTGTGCATATCTGCCTATCCTACTGAAGCACATTTCACCTCAAGGAAGATAACATGTCTAACAAAAAGGAGGCGTTTAGACTGCCTTACGACCCAATCGTAGCAAAACAAGGGACCACGGTTGCTTTGCAGCGCTTTGTGTTGTCTAATCTACGCTTGCAAACTCACAAATCATGCCTTTTCAGAGTTTCAGCACAAGTGCAGTATGCCAAGCACACTTTGGCAGCTCCAGCTCAAAAGGCACGACTATTAAGTGAACGTGGGAATCGCAACTTACGGACTCATTTTGGACACGTTCTGGGCTCGTTTGGTTTGTTGCTTTTTGCACTCCAAAGCCAGCTGCTCGCACAACAAGCCTCTGCATTATCAGAGCGATCTCGTTTCATCTAATTTTGCGTGGTGTTCTACAACACTATCTGGCTCTGGTCTTGTTTACGATAATTGCTCGGTTACACCATGTACTTGTCTTACTGATGGAAATCACCGTAGAAGAAGACTGATGTGTCCCTAAACGATGGTGGGGGGGAGGAATTGCCTGTGCACTGCAAACGATAAGGCGGCCCTCTTTGCCGATGCCCTCTTCGTCAGGCAGCTATCTGTACAGCTGTACAAGTGTATCAGCGCCTGTGGGAGGAGAGACGAAACGCCTCAAAAGCACTGGCCTCAAAATCTCCGCTGCAACGTATCCTCACTTCGCCTTCGGCAACTGGACACCCAAGGCTTTGCTGAGTTTCACAACCACAGCCCCGTTAGGCACGGCACGGCCAGACTCATAGTCGTTCACCACTGAAGGTTTCTCGCTCACTGCCGCTGCAAGCTGTGACTGAGTCCACTTCTTCGCACAGCGAGCCTGCTGAAGTGCCAGTTTGAAGTCATGTGAGACCGTCTGGTGGCGAAAAATCTCTGCATGCTCGTCCAGCTTGGCTGCATTCGGAACGACACGAGAGCGGTTGCTGCTTGCACTGAACTTCTTCGAGGTCTCCACATTCTCGCCTTGACGGCGGGCTTGGTTCACAGCTGCAGCACCTTTTGCGGCCTGTCCATGTGGTGCTGCCTTAAGCCACCGCACGGGCTCCCATTGCTGCTCCAACACCAAAGCTGGACCACTCGGCATCGCTTGAAGGATCTGCCAGAGGTCGGAGTGCTTGAATTTGCTGTCGCTGCTGCAGCACATTCACGATATTCTGAGCTACACCATGCTTGCAAGTGCGATTGCAACCACTAACTTGAAAACTGCCAAAACTGTGCATATCTGCCTATCCTACTGAAGCACATTTCACCTCAAGGAAGATAACATGTCTAACAAAAAGGAGGCGTTTAGACTGCCTTACGACCCAATCGTAGCAAAACAAGGGACCACGGTTGCTTTGCAGCGCTTTGTGTTGTCTAATCTACGCTTGCAAACTCACAAATCATGCCTTTTCAGAGTTTCAGCACAAGTGCAGTATGCCAAGCACACTTTGGCAGCTCCAGCTCAAAAGGCACGACTATTAAGTGAACGTGGGAATCGCAACTTACGGACTCATTTTGGACTCGTTCTGGGCTCATTTGGTTTGTTGCTTTCTGCACTCCAAAGCCAGCTGCTCGCACAACAAGCCTCTGCATCATCAGAGCGATCTCGTTTCATCTAGTTTTGCGTGGTGTTCTACAACACTATCTGGCTCTGGTCTTGTTTACTTGGGCGGAAGAATCATTTTTCACGGCGAAGGGTATTCGGAGCAAATATAAATATCTATTCAAATGAAAGATAATTGCTCGGTTACACCATGTACTTGTCTTACTGATGGAAATCACCGTAGAAGAAGACTGATGTGTCCCTAAACGATGGTGGGGGGGAGGAATTGCCTGTGCACTGCAAACGATAAGGCGGCCCTCTTTGCCGATGCCCTCTTCGTCAGGCAGCTATCTGTACAGCTGTACAAGTGTATCAGCGCCTGTGGGAGGAGAGACGAAACGCCTCAAAAGCACTGGCCTCAAAATCTCCGCTGCAACGTATCCTCACTTCGCCTTCGGCAACTGGACACCCAAGGCTTTGCTGAGTTTCACAACCACAGCCCCGTTAGGCACGGCACGGCCAGACTCATAGTCGTTCACCACTGAAGGTTTCTCGCTCACTGCCGCTGCAAGCTGTGACTGAGTCCACTTCTTCGCACAGCGAGCCTGCTGAAGTGCCAGTTTGAAGTCATGTGAGACCGTCTGGTGGCGAAAAATCTCTGCATGCTCGTCCAGCTTGGCTGCATTCGGAACGACACGAGAGCGGTTGCTGCTTGCACTGAACTTCTTCGAGGTCTCCACATTCTCGCCTTGACGGCGGGCTTGGTTCACAGCTGCAGCACCTTTCGCGGCCTGTCCATGTGGTGTTGCCTTAAGCCACCGCACGGGCTCCCATTGCTGCTCCAACACCAAAGCTGGACCACTCGGCATCGCTTGAAGGATCTGCCAGCGGTCGGAATGCTTGAATTTGCTGTCGCTGCTGCAGCACATTCACGATATTCTGAGCTACACCATTCTTGCAAGTGTGCGACCACACGTTGCAAAGCTGTCCACCCTATTCACGAACATGTGCAATTTGGGGGTATCCATTTGAGCAGTGTTCAAAAACTATCTGTCAAGCATCTTGACACGCAGCGTCAAGCGATGTCTTGCCGCATTGTGTCACGTGATGCTGCCCATGAAGTCCTGATGTTGATTGTTTTTTCTGGCCTCATCATATCGGATTTAGCGTCGCCCACTCATGTCGCATGGTGCGTGGTGACGCTGTGATTCATTTTGTGGCGTGGCATGTCGCGGTGCGCGGGTAAGTTGCGGTTGAGTGTGGCACTACGTAAAACTGTATGGCATGTACACTTGTTTATATGTTACAGTGTGCACAATTAGGGCCGTGAAGCTCGTCTAACTGGCAAGTCCTGAATTCAGTTTGCCTGCAAAGTCTACCTCCTCGTTCGCGGTCTTCAGTGGGCCGGCAGCCTCCAGAATGCTAGGTTGAAGCGACAAAGAAAGTCAACAGAGAACAGGCGCAACGATGCTGGATAAGGAGTAGCGCTCGACATAAATCGCCCAATTTCCAGGGCCCAATACAATGAGGTTCCACCTTAGGTTGAGAAGTAGGCTGTTCAAAGCGCCACGCCGTGCCCGCCAAAGCTGACAAACTCGCAGAGCCGCCGCCTCCACAAGGAGCTTGACCAAGCAGCAAGCTGGTCGGAACTCCTCATCGGCAACTTTCAGCAGAAACGCTGCGCAACGCTGCTGCAACGCTGTTCATTCTGAGTCGGGATCCCCCACCATTTCACGGCATGACCTGCAAATTGACACTGTGCAGGCTGTTTGCAGCTCCACGTCAAACGCAATATCCAACCTGGCCTTTCCATGCAGTTGCCTGCATCCTGAGCTGGCAAAACAAGTGGGCTGTGAGGCCATGGGGCCAATTGGCAATTGGCATGTTCACACCAGCTTGGGGCGCAGCATCCAAAAGCAGCCTCCATTCAGCTGACAGCGCTCGCAGTTGCCACCAGGTCTTGGTTGCTCTCAGTGTGATCATGCTCCGCGCACCAACAAGCTTAAGCGTCCGCGAGAATACGCACACACACACACACACACACACACGCACACACACACACACTGTGCGCACACGCAGCCTGAGAAGACTACGACCCCAGTCATCCTGGGAACTAGAAAATGGATGGCCCACAAAGGTTCGCACCAACACAAAGTAGGGAACCTGAGATCAGTTGAAGGCACCCAAACAGACGAGTAACAGGATACGTTGTGCCCAGCAAGTCGAGTTTTCAATCCCCCTCACTTAGCAAACATGCTTCGGACCCTGGCACCCTTCCCAGGCCGAAGAAAAGAGGTGCCCCGACATTTCCACCCTTTTGCTAGGCCGAAAGAGGAAAAAAGATCCCCCCCCTTTCCCCCTAGCCTCCGCCAACGTGGGTGTGCGCGTGTGGGGGTGTGTTTGTCTGTATTGGTGTTTGTCTCTGCACATCAGGCTCTGCATCCGTCCGCACCTGTCCGCCTCTGTATCTGCACCTGCTTCTGTTTGTGTTTTTGCGTCTGAATTGTTCTGTCTACGTGTGCGCGCTCGAGTCTGCGCATTGGTGCGCTCAGCATGTTTCAGGCCACGTGCCGCACATCGCGCTACAACTGCCTGGTCCGGTAGATTTTCAACCCGGATGCAACTCGGCGTGTCACACATTATGTTGCCACTGCTGCGGCAACACAGCAGCGCCTACCGCAAATTGAGAGCGACACCCTTGGAGGTAGAAGTCGCAGAATCAGAAACCTCCAAGTGGCAGACAACAAGCCAGCAAAAGACTTGACAAACAAAATACTTGATGTGTCCCCTTCTTGACAAGGGTGTTGCGTAATGCTTGGCAGCATTCTCCTGAGAATCTGCAGCGCAATGCACAACGCGCCGCCAGATGATGCATTTCATTACAGCACATTACATGACAACACATTACATCACAGTACATTGCATTCCATTACATTCCGTTACATTACATTGCATTACATTACATTCATACATGCATACATACATTGCATTACAGTACAGTACAGTACATTGCAAACATACATACATCCGTACATACATACATACATTAAGCTACATTACGCTACGTTACGTTACGTACATTACATGACACACATACAAAGCATACATGCATGCATACATACATCACACACATACATACATTACATACATACATTCCATCACAGCACATTACATACATGCATACATCTACCCATGCATACATACATTACATGCATTACATGCATTACATACATACATACATACATACATACATACATACATACATACATACATACATTCATACACACATACATACACACATGCATACATACATTACATACATTACATACATACATACATACATACATACGAACATACATACATACATACATACATACATACATACATACATACATACATACATACATACAAACATACACACATACATACATACATACATATAGACATACATACATTACATACATTACACACATACATACATACATACATAAATACATACATACAGTACATTACATTACACTACAATACATTACAGTACATTATGTTACGTTACATTGATACACGCATTTAGACTAACATTAAAACATACATACATACGTTGCATTACATTACACTTCCTTACACTACTTTACTTTACATAGCATTACATTGCATTACACTGCATTACATTGCATTACATTGCATTACATTGCGTTCCGTTCCATTACATTACATTACATGCAACTTACACACATACATACCTACATACTCCACACATACGGTAATTACATACATACATTCATACATACATTCATACATACATTCATACATTCATACATACATAGATACATGCATAATTACATTACACACACATACATTACATACATACATTATATTACATTACATTACAGTACAGTACAGTACAGTACCTTACATACATACATAACTCCACACATACATACATACATACATTGCAATACGCATTGCATTACAATACTTTGGCTTTTTTGCTGCCTCATTTTGGCGAAACCTTGAAAACCACCCATGAAACAACGAAGAACTCATTTGACCTGCTCAACCTGTGGACAGTCAACCCATGTTTCATGGGGCCAGGCCTCCCTGACTCTGGCGGAAAAGCGGATTTTAGGCTGTCGCTGGCTGGCCTCTAGTCTTCCTAGCTGCCTGCTTGCCTGCCTGCCTGCCTGCCTGCCTTCCTTCCTGCCTGCCTGTTTTTTCGTCTTCGTTTGCACGCTGATTGTTTTCTTGGCTGCTTGTCTGAGCGCCTGCTTGCTGGCCTGCTTGCTTGTTTGTTTGCTTGCCTTCCTGCATCTCTGCGCGCCTGCTTGCTTGCCTACTAGCTTGTCTGTTAGCTTGCCTTCCTGTGTGACTGCGTGTCTGCTTTGCTGTCTCCTGCCTGGCGCCTGTCTACGCGCGTGTTTTTTTTGCTTGTTTGTCTGTTTGCAGGTCTTCTTGTTCTGCTCGTCTGCTCGCCTGTTGCCTGTCCGCGCGCTGTCCTGCCTGCCCTGCCTGTTTTCTTGTTTGCTCGCTTGCTTCCTGTCCGGGCGATGGCTTGTCCGCGTGTTGGCCTGCCGGCCTATTGGGATATGACTGCTGGAGCCGCTTCAAGCGGAAACTGGCGCAGCCGCCCGGCAAAGAACGCAGTCGAGGAGGACGCAGAAATCGAGAGCGCACCGTCGTACTTCAGGCAGTGTCGTTGTGAGGTTGACTTTGACTTGCTAGTGCCCTGAGCACGCGATCCGAGGAGATTGACCCAAGGATTCACCATGGCTAAAATTGCGCGGAGATTGATCCGCGTACCGTCTCTTATGTTCCCCTCTGTTCTGGCAGGGGGGTGGGTTGATGGGGGGTGATGATGATGTTGGTGCGCTGGCGATGCATTTGGTTTTTACGTAGCCCTCTCGGGTGGCTATAACTCCCGACCCCCCGGGACAACGCCAGTAAAGTGAATTGCCGCAGCCAATTGTTTGAGCTTTTTTTGCTCTCGGATGTGTTTTTTCGTGTTTTTGTCGACCCCGAACGATGCTCTCAGGTACCGCCCCGGTCTGAGGGCTGTTTTTGGTCTCTAGGTTTTGCACGATTTCGCCGGCTTGGTGGATGATTCGGAGACGCGGGCATGAAAGATTCTTGTGTCTGTGACGCCGCATTTTGTGCTGCGGCCTGTGTTGCCTTCCGGAAGAACGGGGTCTCTTGGCTGAGTTCAAGCTTTTTGGGCCTTGGCTAAAAGTGATGACAGCAAACAGGGTAGGCCCCCACGACAAAAAGGGCAGAATTTCAGATCGTGAACATGCGGTTCAAAGGTTGAGCTTTTACTCACATGACTACACGAACTCTTACGCGTCTGGCACGCTGGCAGCAAATTCCACAGCCCATCAACAAGTTCTCCAACAGCCCAGCCCAGCGCACGCCGTTTCAGACTTGCAGCTGCTTCGAGTCTCCTACAAAAAACGCAAAGAAAACGGCGTCCACGCGCAGTCTCTGTTGCAATGAGGACCCACGCGGCCACGCTTCGGTTAGAGTGCGGCCACAAAGCGCTCGCGCTTTTACGTCAGCCACAAACTTCCGACGAGCAACTGTGGATTTGAACGTAGCTGTGGGCAAATCCATTTCTCTCACGATCCGAGCCTGGATCACAGTACGCTACAAAAATTCTCCAAACTTGCTGGTCCTTCCTCAGCACCGCCTTCTTCGCCGCCAAGAGCTGATCCTCTGCAAAGCTTTGCTCTCTCGCCTTGCGAGATGTGAGCGACACCTGCGCAGCTTCTGCCGTAAATCTCGCGCAAATTGCACAACCTTGCCTGTTGCGCCCGTCGTACAAAATCCTGGCCGCCGGGCCGAACGTAGTGTACGCCCGCGCCAGACTGTCAATGACCCTTTCGGGCACAAGCTTGCGCATCAAATTCAAGCAGCGCGAAGCCAGAAATTTGGGGCGACACCCAGAAGCGTTCTCTGAGCACCCCCCGCGTCTCAAGCTGGACGCTGCCCCCAGCACCGGTGTCGACTGAAACTGACGAATCAGAGCTTCAAGCGAGCCAGCGACAACATCGTATGCACACTGCTGCCGCAAGTTCACATCAACAAGGAGCGCAGCGCCCTTCTTGGCAGACTCACGCCAAGGGCCAGCTTGCGTGCAGAGCACGGTGTCCAGCCAACGATTTCTGCAGGGGGCGGCTTCTCTTGTAAAATCAACCAGAAAAGGGGTTCCTTTTAACACCAACACCCGTTCGGCGCCGAAAGGCCAAGAAGAAGGGCCGCGTCACCAAGCCTTGCCTGCGCCTCCTGCGCCTCCTGCTTCACCACCGAGGCGAGAGAATGGATGGTCCGATCAATGGGAACTCATTTGGCTTTTCCATGAAAGTATGGTTCCCCTCAAACATGGTGGACGTGCCCAAATGAGTGACGTCCACACAGGATCACCAATTGAGATTCACACATGGGGGCCGGGTTTTGTTCAAATCTTTGGGGTCAGACACTTTCCATTACCACATTATTTCGAGCGTAAACGGCATAGAGGGTGTGTGTCTTTTAGTGGCTAGTGGCTGTATACCAATCATGTTTGCTTGGGCCTTGCAGAAGCCTTCACAGTTCCCAGTTCTGCTGACGCGCTCCCTTCGCACACGGTCCAGTTCGGACACGCGGGCGCCCAGGCTCGGCAGATGCGAGGTGCGAGAACGGGATGTTCCCATGTGGGTTTAGTCGACCCCCGTAGAAAGTTAGGTTTATTTGCGAATACTGCACGCGGCGGCCGATCTTGTTCTTGTTTTTTCCGCCTTCCGAGATTGAAGGACCAAGCAATTTTACAGGCCCCTCACTTTTGGGGACACACATGCGAGCGACGGTCAATATTTACCAACCACTGGGAATGAAGTGAGGCACCCGCCATCGTAGGTTGAAATGCCCATCCCGTCTCACTGCGGACACTTGCAGAATAACTGCGACTCTTGTGATTTCAACCTACTCATGCAAAGCGCGCGGCGACATGGAGATGGCTGCTGCAGAGAACAAGGCAGGCACAGAGAGTACTTGGGGCTGTCCTAAAACTTGGGACCATTTTGGATGGGTTTCGAAGGAAACCCTGGGAACCAACCACTTGTTGGTTTTCACTCAGGGCATCGGCCATTGGCTAAGGCTATGGGGTAATCAACAAATGCGACCCTCACTCAACAGTTGCCTATGGCAATGAAAATCCAAAGGCTATCCGTGACAAACTGCGACTGCAGGAGCTTCAGACTGATCGCCAATCCATGCCATCATGAGTAGCATCACAGCAAACTATTTGCACGAAACCAAAGCGGCTTTTCTGTTTCGCGGCGCAGGGGTTGGGCGACTTCAGCTTGCCGCGGAGCGGTCATGAGGACGATAAGGACTGTCATGATAGGTATCATCGTAGCATCCTCTGCATTGCCAATGCTGCGAAAAAAAAAAGATGATGATGACAATCATGATGACTATATTACGATGAGAATGATGACTGTGACGACAATCATCACGAGGACGATAAGGATGATGACTGTCATGATAACTATCATCGTAGCATCATCTGCATTACCAATGCTGCCTAACGCCACATTAGAGATGATGATGACAAGCATGATGACGATGATGAGGGTGATGACTGTCATGACAGTCATCATGAAGGTGATAAGGATGATGACTGTCAGGATAACTATCATCCGAGCATCATCTGCATTGCCAATGCTGCCTAACACCACATTTGAAATGTAGAGAAT